CTGACCGCCCCACGTACCGCCCCGATTCCCCTCTCACCCCAGCCCCAAGCATCACCCCCGGCCCCTCCGGCATTTTAGTGCCCCCTCTGCAGAGCCATCACCCACCCTCGGTGCCCCCCGGCACCATCCTGACACCCCCCAGCATCCTCCTGACCCCCTCAGCATCATCCTGGTACCCCCAACACCATCCTGACCCCCCCAGCATTGTCCTGACCCCCTCAGCATCATCCTGGTACCCCAACACCATCCTGACCCTCCCCCAGCATCATACTGACCCCTCCAGCATTGTCCTGACCCTCCCCAGCATCATCCTGACCCCTCCAGAACCATCCTAATCCCCCCAGCACCATCCTGTTCACCCCCCCAGCACCATCCTGACCCTCCCCAGCATCATCCTGGTACCCCCAGCATTGTCCTGACCCCCCTGGCATCATCCTGACCCCTTCAGCACCATCCCAATCCCTCCAACACCATCCTGACCCCCCCAGCATCACCCCAACTCTGCTTCAGCTCTGTCCCTTGATCCCCTCAAGCCTCCCCCTCAGATCCTCTCCAGTGTCACCCCCAAATCCCCTCAGAGCCCCCAGACCCTCTCCAGCAGCATCCCCGGTTGCCCTCCACCATCCCTCCCCAGCATCACCTTCAAAACCATCCTGACCTCCCCCCCCCAGGGTCATCCTGACCTCCCAGATCCATCCTGACCCCCCCCCCTCAGACCCATCCTCACCCACCCAGGCCCATCCTGACCCCCCCCAGCACCCCTCCTGGCCTCCTCCACCACCTCCCACCCCCCTTTTCCCCCCACTGAGGCCAAACCCAGCCCTTTGCTCCCCAAAAATCCCCCTGTCCCAGCAGGAAAGGTTCAGAAATTCGGGGGGGTTGAGCTGTCACCTACAACTCTTCCCAAAACACCACCTGGAAGTCTCAGACTTCCTTGAAATTCATTATTTTTGTCCCATTTTCCAGTCTCTGCCTGCTCCAGCTCCTGTCCAAACACAGCAGGATCACGGAACATTTCCCTTCCCTTAACGAGGGATGAAATCGAGGGGCAGTTATTAATTAACAGAGGCATTAATGACTTCCCATCCTCGCTGGTGGCACAGATGGGCTCCTGCTGCAGACAGGGGGGAGATGATCCCCCCCAATCCCTCATTTCCAGCTCCCAGATTTGGGACAACCACAGCAGCCAGAGAGTTTTTCCTTGGAGAAATGCTGTTCCTGGGCAGGAAATTTCCATTTTTCCTCACTCTCCCATGAGGGGGATGAAATCCCAGCCTGCCCCACCCTCATTTCTTTTGTCTCCTCTGAAAATGTGGCCCCAAAGGAGTTGGATGTTGGAATTTGGGGCTGTCTGGGCACAGATCAGTGCCCAGGGCTCGGTGTCAGGACACCCCCAGAACCTGGGCAGCCCCTTCCCGCTCCCACAGCCCAGACCCTGAATTAAAAACCCTCAAAAATTAACATTTTCCACCCAAAATCCCATTTCCAGCTGCATTTTTGCTGCCGTGGCTTCCCTGGGGGCACCATCACCATGTCCATCCCTGCCTGGAGAACAAGTGGGCACCCTCACCCCCAGCTCTCCTGGCACAGCTTCACCCACTCCTGATTTTCCAGCTTCTCCTGACGGGAACCTGCCCCCACCCAGCTCCTGCCCTTCCCAGAACAGCTCCCACCCACCTGGAGCCCAGGCCGGCCCCAGCAGCCACAGCCCACCCACGGCCCCACCAGCACCCTGCAATTAAAGTTATTTCGGAGCCAGAGCCACCCTCCTGCCCTGGAGAGGGCTGGATCCAAAAGGGAAGCTCTGGGGACCATCTGGGGGGGATTAATTTAAAAATTACCCCCCACTAAAAACATCCTCGAGAGAGGCCGGGTTGGTGGAGCTTCCACTGCTGTCCCAGCAGCCCAAAATTCCCTCGTGGCTCAGCCCAAAGGCTCCCAGGGGGATTTTTCACGGCATTTTGGGCCCTGCACCAGCTCCACGCCAGGGGCTTTGCTCTGATAAAAACCATCTGTGCTCCTGCTTTGGGAATTCCATTTCCTGGGCGAGGAGAGCCCGGGTGGATCCCTCCTCCTGGCCAGCTCCAATCCTTGGGAATAAACTGCTGGGGTCCTTGCTCCAGCTTTGGGGCTGCAGCTTCCAGGATTTACCTGGGAACTGAGGGTTTCACCCCTAAGGAGAGCATAAAACCCTCAAATAATCATCAAATAATCCCAATTAATTTGAGGAGCCACAGGACAAAACTTGGAGCAGGAGATGGTGGTGGGAACGTTCATTGTGGTGTGGAGAAATCCTGGAGAAAATCCCAAGAAAACCTTGAGAAAATCCTGAGAAAAACCTTGATAAAATCCCTAGAAAATCCCAAGAAAACCCAGAGAAAACCCATTTTCAGTGAAATAAAGGCTCTGGTTCTACCCAGGGCTGGAAGCAGCTCCAACTCCACATGGATGGAGAATCCAAGGTCAAAGCTGCTGATGCAGAGAAAGAAGTTGTGGGATTTGTCTTGGGAAATGGTCCCAGGGACCCTGGGGACACCCAGAAGTTTGTCACGAGTAAATCCATTAATGTGGCTCTGTTTTGGGGAAGAAATTTCGCTCCTGGCTTTTCTGTGCTGCCAAAGAGGAGATGGTGGAGCTGGAAATCCCAGTTCTTCCCCATCCCTGGAATCAGAGGAGAACCTGGCTCTTCATTTCAACACAAGTTTCCTCAAACAGGAGATGCCAAATCCACTTTGGGAGAAACTTGCAAAATAGAAAAGCCTGAGATGAGATTTTTCCAAAATAAAAGAGGGATTTGGAGCTGATGCTTTGTGCCTCAATTTCCCCATTTTGGGAAACACATTGGATTCCACTGATGGAAATGCTATAAAACACCCAAATTCCTGTTAATGAGTTAAAATAATTCTTAGTGACCCCAAAAACCTTGAGATTCTCCCACCCAGCCTTCCAAACTCCCAGAGAAATCCAACAAGCCTTCCCAAGCATCCCTAACTGTTTATGGAAGATTCATTTCCACTCAGTCAAAGGCAAATTTTGAGGAATTCCCTTTTCCCAGGAGCTGCAGCTCCCCCTCACACCTCCAAACCCTGTGATGAGATTGGCTTCCACAGGGAACAATAACCCAGAACACACCTGGGGTGATCCAAAGCTGGGACCACCCTCCAAACCCTGGGATGAGATTGATATCCACAGGGAACAATAACCCAGAACACACCCGGGGTGATCCAAAGCTGGGACCACATCCCCAGGAGAATGGAGAAGGACAGGGAATGTGGAAACTGCTCCCAGCCCAAACCAGCAGCAGGATCCCAGAATCCTCATCAGCCCCAGAGCCCCAGGGCTGGAGGAGCCACCCAAGGCCATCAAGTCCAAATCAGAAATGTCCATGGAAATGGGAAATGCCAGAGTCTGTCCTGTAGAAATGGGAAATGCCAGAGTTTGTCATGTGGAAATGGGAAATGTCCAGAGTTTGTCCATGGAAATGGGAAATGTCCAGCATCTCTCCATGGAAATGGGAAATGTCAGAGTCTGTCCCGTGGGTCAGGGTGCAAATCCATGCATTTCCCACTGGGAGGGCCGGTCCTACTCCAGGTGGAGCAGCAGGTGGCTCAGGTGTCCCGCTCCAGGTGGAGCAGCAGGTGGCTCAGGTGTCCCGCGTGTCCCGCTGCCCCCGAGGGGGGAATGTCCTGGCACAGCTCACAGCCCAGGGCAGCCTCGCCGCTGGGGCCGCTGCCCTCCTCCAGCTCCCAGCCCGGAGTCCAGCAGGTCTGTGAGGAAAAGGGGGGTTTGGGGACAGAGAAACCCCCAGGAGTGCCCTGGGCCAGCCCCCAAAAAGGGCTGGGCTGGAGCTTGGGGGGCTCGAGCTGCCCCCACCCCATCCTCCCAAAATCCCACTGGACAATCCCATGTCCGTGTGGCTCCCGAGCCTCCCCAGCGCTTCCCACGGGCCAAACCAGGAGGAAAATGGGCTTTGAGCAGCAAACTGGAGCACATTTGTCACTGTCCCATTGTCATCTGAGCGCTGACGGGGCCCCAAACTGACACAGCCCCACTTCCCCCTTCTCCTTCAAAAACTCCCTCCCAAATACAGCCCAAAATCAGAGTCATCCCCAGGAATACCCAGCCCCTGAAGCCATTAAAGAATTTTTAAGGGTTTAATTTAGGAAAAGGAATTAAAGGAAATGGGTTTGGCACCCCAGGGACCCTGGGTGAGACGGCCAGGACTGGGGTGAAGGTTCACCAGGAGGCTGAGGGGCCAGAGCTCAGAGAGGTCTGTGAATGACAGGAATCATTTGGAATTATTTGGAAATGTGTTTTGGGGTGTGGAGATCAGAGAGAATAAAGGAAATACTTCAGAGCAGTTTAATTGGAAGATTCAAAGGAGGTTGAGAGAACTTCTCCCCAGCTGACTCCTCCAAGGGATCCTCAAAGCCTCCGTGAGGATCAGGGCAGGGATGTCCTGGCTGGACAGCCGGACCTCAGGGGCTTTCCCACACCCAAATCCCCTGGGAACCAGAAAATCGGGTGCCCAGAGCCTTTTAAAGGAAATAACCCCACTCTGGCACACTCCCAGGACCGATGGAGAGGAGGGTGAAGTGTCCCTGATGCCATGGACTGAATCCCCCCAGGCTCCCCCGTTACCTTCACAGGCCCTCGGATCTCCACCAGAGCCACATCCCCGGCAGCCTCCTCCCTCTCCAGCACTTCTGGGGCTTCGTAGAGATCCAGAGGATTTGGGAAGGAGCCCCCAGCCCCTGGATTGGGTGTCTCCAGCTCCCGAGGGCTGCAGGAAGCTCTCCCTCCTTCCCAGGGCATGGGGAGGATCCAGGTTCTCCTCCGGGCGGGCACTTCCCCCTCCTGCCCTGAGCTGCTGCCCAGAGCTGCAGCTCCTGCAGCTCCTGCAGCTACTGCAGCTCCTGAGGCTCCTGAGGCTCCTGCAGCTCCTGCAGCTCCTGCGGCTCCTGCACCATGCCCAGGGCTCGGGGGGAGCCTGCTGGTGGCCCGGGGCTGTCCCATGGGACCAGCAGAGCCCTCCGGGTGGGATGTGGAGGGTGTCAGAGCTCCTGGGCGGGTTTGGTGGCTCTCAGGTGGCCTTTGTCCATCCCCTGTCCCCACATCCTCCGTGCACTGGACAGGCAGCGAGACCGGGATGTCTTTGGGAGAGAGGGAGGCACAGGGGTCATTCCTGGGAATTCAAAGGGTTTTGGGGTTTTTTTCCTCTCTTTCCATTGCTCTGTTTCCCGTTGGCCTTGGGGAACCCTGGGCTGGCAGAGCTCGCCTGTCCCCTCTGGAGCCCGGGCCACCAGAGGAAGGACACTGAGGACAGCCAGGGAGGGTGAGGTGGGGGACCATCATCTCCCTCAGGTGACCGGGACATCCCCATGTCCCCAAATCCAGGTTATTCCCAGGAAGGGCTTTGGTTTAAGTCCTGGAAGGACACGGGTGGAGAGGAGGGAGCCCCAGGGCAGGGAGGCTGCAGTTTCCCAGCACAGCTTTGTCCAAACCGATCCTTCCCAGCCACAAAATTCCCATTTTAGGGTTGGGGAAATGGTGCCAGACCCCGTGGGGGTGCTGTGAGTGTCTGGGGAGAGAGGAGAGGGGGAATCCTTGGAAAACCAGAGGGCTCCTGGGTGTTTTCTGGGCTGTAGATCCTCCCCAGGCCTGCTCCCATCCTCTCCAGGTGATGCTCCCAGGACCAGGAGCACCCAAAGCCACAATGGGCTCAGGGCACCTTCCTGCTCCAAGCCCCTTCACCCCACCAGAGGAATGCTGAGGGCACCGGGAGCAGGGTGGGAATGACCCTGCCAGGACCAGGGTGGGAATGACCCTGACCCTGCCAGGACCAAGGTGGGAGTGACCCTGACTGGCCACCTGCCAGGACACACTGAGGACAGCCAGGGAGGGTGCCAGGACCAGGGTGGGAATGACCCTGCCAGGACCAAGGTGGGAGTGACCCTGACCCTGCCAGGACCGAGGTGGGAATGACCCTGACCCTGCCAGGATCATGGTGGGAGTGACCCTGACCCTGCCAGGACCAAGGTGGGAATGACCCTGACCCTGCCAGGAGCAGGGGGGGAATGACCCTGACCCTGCCAGGACCAGGGTGGGAGTGACCCTGACCCTGCCAGGACCAGGGTGGGAATGACCCTGCCAGGACCAAGGTGGGAATGACCCTGACCCTGCCAGGAGCAGGGGGGGAATGACCCTGACCCTGCCAGGACCAGGGTGGGAGTGACCCTGACCCTGCCAGGACCAGGGTGGGAGTGACCCTGACCCTGCCAGGACCAGGGTGGAGTGACCCAAATGTGCAGTCTGGGGACTCTGCAGGTCCCACTCACCCAGGACCGGTCCCTTCCTGGCCCTCAGCCTCTGGAGGAGCCTCCCCTGCTCTGAGCACAGCTCCTGCAGCCTGGCCACCTCCCCCCAAAGCTGCAGGAACACCTCCTCCATCTCCATCACAGCGGGCAGGACAGGGAACGAGCACCTGGTAACAGCAACAAGAATCACATTAATAACCATCCGCTGGTAACTGGGGTTATCCCAGGGCAGGAGGGGCTGCCAGGGTCATCCCGAGCTGGTGGGATGGGGAGGGTCAGGTGCTGCAGGTGTGTGGGATTGCACAGGGAGAAGCATTCCCAGTTCTCTCATAATTTAGGAAAAAAAAATAAAAAGGATGAGGTTTTTCTTAAGAGGAGCCGAGCTGGGCTTTTCCACCTCTCCCCCACAGCTTCCACGAGCTCCAAACAGCACAAAAATCTCGTTTAGTAAAAAAATCTACCTGGCAAAAGTTGTATTTCCAAGTCAGTACCAAAAGATCAGTTTTTGGGGGGCGTGAGAGCAAAAACTCCTAAAAACAAACCCATCCAAGGAATGATGTCCAGGGGCGGGGACACAATTCCTTTTTTTGAGCTGCTCAGCCCCTTCTTCTCCCAAAAACACCCCAGGAAGCACCACCCAGCATCAATTAACCAAATGTTGGCATTATGGAGGAAAATTGCGTCCCCCACATTTTCCCCCTCTTTAACAGCTGTATTATGGATTAAACTTCCCAGTTTTCCCATCTTGCACCAATTATTACCGGGCAAAAAGATAATAAATAAACCCGAAGCTGGGCACAGATCTGCAAACCATCTGCAAAGGGGATTTGAAAGCAGAAATATGCAAATCAGCCTGGCTTCCTGTCAGCTCCTCCAGGTTCGCTGCCGCTCAGCGCTGCAAGTTTCAGCTCGGCGTTAAATTTAAGCTCCGGCTCAAATTAGGGGTTTGGCTGGAGGGTTGGATGGAGCCGCCTCCGGCGCTGAGGATTCCCCGCGAGGGATGAAGGGCAGAAATCCCGAAGGAAATGCGCTTGGAGCGAGGAAAACCCCAGAGGCGATGGTAAGGTTTGCTCCCAGCTCAGGGAATTGAGGTGCTCGCCCCGCACCCAGGGGGACCCTCACCCCAATTTTGGCTCTTTGGCTTCTTCTGCTCCTGAAAACCTTCCAAGTAAACATTTTTCACCCATCCCCACAAGGCAGCAGACTTCACCTCCAATTCAAGTTTTGTTTTGTCTATAAAGACGCCAATTAATTATTAATTGGAGTGTGACCCCGAGCCGCCACTCCCTAACAAGCCTGGGAAGATTTTGTCGTGGATTTCATTCCAGCCCTGCCAGGGTTCCTCGGGTCTCGACTCCTCATTTCCCCCAGGCTGGTGCCACCGGGACAAAGCTGCGGGAGATTTTTACGTCCCAAAAAAGCCTCTCCTCTCCCAAACTGCAATTAAAATTGGGAGCACAGAACTCCCGTTTGCGGGGTTGGCAGAGCGGCTCCGAGGGGCAGAGCCCGGCGGGGTGGGGGGGACGGGGCACCCCAAATCCCATCCCCACGGCCCAGCCCGGCATGGACCCCAAAACCCCTCTCTTTCCCCCAAAAGTGACTTACCGTGGTGGGGACCGTCCCGGCCCTGCCCGGTGGCCGCGGTGGCGCCGAGCTGAGAGCGGCAGGTCCTGAAAGTCGAGCAGCAGCAAATTTGGGGGTGGGAATTTCCCTTTCGGGTTTTGAGCGAAGAGCGAAACCTCCGAAGCAGGAAACGAAAGGGGAGAGAGCGACGGCTTCGAAGAGAGCTCGGAAAAGCCCCGGGGGGCTCGTGGGGACCGAGGGTTGGCTCCAATCGGTGCCTCAGTTTCCCCTCATACCTTATTCCAGCTCATTAGCGCTTTAATTTGGCTCTGAGGGGTGTTCGTGCCCCGGAGACCTCATGTCCTGTAAACCAGTTAATATTCCAGCTAATATCCCAATAATCCCGATTAATCCTCGCTCTGCTCCAGCTCAAATCTCCCAAATCCTCCGCACAGCGCCGGAGCCAAAGGAAAATCCTGGGCTGGGTGTTGGAGCCCGCCCGGGCCCGTCCCCCCGGGGCTCTTCCCGAGGCCATCCTGCTTCTCCTAGCACGCCCAGTGCCAGTCCCTTACTGGTCCCAGCACACCTGGAGCCGTGACCTAGGCACCTCCATAAACCCCTGCCGCCCCCAGTGTGCCCAGTACCGGTCTCTTACTGGTCCCAGTACACGTGGAGTCCTACCCATGCAGCTCCCAGTGTCCCCAGTACCAATCCCTTATGGCTCCCAGTGTGCCCAGTACCTTTCCCTTACTGGTCCCAGCACACGTGGGGTCCTACCCATGCAGCTCCCAGTGTCCCCAGTACCAATCCCTTATGGCTCCCAGTGTGCCCAGTACCTTTCCCTTACTGGTCCCAGCACACGTGGGGTCCTACCCATGCAGCTCCCAGTGTCCCCAGTGCCAGTACATTATAGCTCCTAGTGTTCCCAGTGCCAGTCCTTTACTGGTCCCAGTACACTTGGGGTCCTACCCTGCGGCTCCCAGTGTCCCCAATACCAATCCCTTACGGCTCCCAGTGTTCCCAGTGCCAGTCCCTTACTGGTCCCAGTACACTTGGGGTCCTACTCTGTGGCTCCCAGTGTCCCCAGTACCAATCCCTTATGGCTCCCATTGTGCCCAGTGCCAGTCCCTTACTGGTCCCAGTACACGTGGGGTCCTACCTGTACAGCTCCCAGTGTCCCCAGTACCAATCCCTAATGGCTCCCAGTGTCCCCAGTACCAGTCCCTAATGGCTCCCAGTGTCCCCAGTACCAGTCCCTAATGGCTCCCAATGTCCCCAGTACCAGTCCCTAATGGCTCCCAGTGCCAGTCCCTTACTGGTCCCAGCACAGCACCCCCACTTCAGGCGCGGGGCCGGCCGGTGGCTCCAGGACCGGGCGCTATTCCCGGCATGGGTGGGCACCTCCAGGACCCGGCGTTTTCCCCTGGCAGACACCTCCAGGACCCGGCGTTTTTCCCGGTCGGGGCGGCTTTAGGACCCGGCGTTTTTCCCGGTCGGGGCGGCTTTAGGACCCGGCTATTTCCCCGGTCGGAGCGGCTTTAGGACCCGGCGTTTCCCCGGTCGGGGCGGCTTTAGGACCGCGGCAGCCCCGCCCGTGCACCTGCCCGGGAGGCGGGCACAGGTGGCACAGGTGGCCCCGCCCCACCCGGACGCACCTGCGGCCCCGCAGCCGCTGTGGAGCCGGTAAGAGGGGACGGGGATCCCACTGCTGAGCCCCTCTCTGCTCTGAGGGGGTTTGGGGTTCCAGTGCCGCGCTCTTGCCGGGGAAGGGGGTCCCGGGGTCACCGGTGGGCAGCCCTCGCCCCAGGGAAAGGAGGGCCGGTGGTCGCGAGGGTCGTGGTGCGGCACCCATCTCTGCGGTAAGAGGGTCTGGGGTCCTCATGTGAAGACTTTTGCCTTGAGGAGGGGTCTGGGGATCCCGGTGGTCCCACCACGGTAAGGGAGACGGGAGGTTCCCGGTGAGGAGCCCTCGGCCCGGGGGAAGGGGGAGCAGGGTGGTCCTGGTGAGGGGGCATTGGGTGCTCGGGGGTCCCGGTGCAGAGACCCCTCCGTGCAAGGGGGTTCGGGTGGTCCTGGGATGGATCCTCCCCGGGGCGGGGGGTCCGGACAGAGCCCCCGGAGCAGCCCAGCGGCTCCAGGGTCTGTGGTAGCTCTGGGCAGGGCACTGGGCGGACCCGGCCCCCATCACCCCCACGGGGCGAGGCAGAGACCCTCACACAGCCCCCATCTCCGGGCGCTGCCATCCCCCACCCCGGGAGCGGCTCCAGGACACCCGGGGCTCCCCCCACCTGGACCAGGGGAGCCCGACAGGATCCTGACTCCTGTGAGCTCCCAGCCCTCGCCCTCCGCAGCACCTCCAGTTCCTCACACTGGGACTGAACCCCGCCGCACCCCACGTCCCAGTCCCTGCCCCTCCCGGTGTCACCGTGGCTCGCTGCCACGTGGAGCCGGTGGCCACCTCACCTGCGGCACTCAGGTCAAGTCATTTGTATTTTATTTATTTTCCTTTATTTCCTCCACGTCTGTGTCTCTGTTTCCACCTTTCCCCACCATCCCTCCCTCTCACATCACGGGGGGTGCTCCTGGAATTCCCACCGAACCCCCTTTCCCCCCTTTTCCCCCGTTTCTGACCCCAGTAGGTTCCCCTGGGTCATTTCGATGTTGTTTTTCTAGGGTGCAGGGCCAGCCCCGTGGCAACACGGGATTTTCGGGATGGGCTGGAGCAGAATCCGCCTGGGAGTTCGCAGGGCAGGCAGCAGAGAGCACAGGTGCACCAGGAGCTCACGCTGGAGCCCTGTGCCAAATCCACCCCAGTCTTTTGGAGGAGAATTTTTTATTTGTATTTGGCTTTTTGGCTCTTTTTGGGAAGGGGTTGAGGCCTCCTGGGAGCGGCAGCTCTTGTTGTGCACAACCTGTGCCCTCTCTGCACACCTGAGTGTCCCTCTGGGGTTAATTAACACCGACACCTAACGAGGTTCATTAGCAACGTAGCAGGAAGGAAGCTCAGGGAGTGGTGGTGTTGATGGAAATGTTTTTTTTTCCCAAAAATCCATTTCTTTTCTCTCCCCCTTGTTGTACGGCAGCGCCATGCAATGAAAACCTCGGAGCTCGGGGGCACCTTGGTGTAGAAATTCCGAGGGAACGGCAGGGAACCCCGGGGGATTGATGGTTTTTTTTCCCCCTTTTCTGCTTTTCCGCGCTGGATGGGGCCGGGCGCTCTTGGCAGTGAAGCGTGGTCCAGCTTTGATCCCTCGGAGCTCAAAGCGGGGACCCCGGGACCCTCCTCCTCCTCCCCAGCCCAAACTTCCTCGCCCTTGAAGTTGTGGCAGGTGCCCTTCCCCGCCCCATTCCCAAGAGAATGAAAAGAAAAGGGGAAAAAGGAATCAGGGGAAGGGGGGGGACCCCGAAGTGGAGGAGGAGGAGGAGGAGATGGCGGTGAATGGATCCCGCCGGGCTCGTCCATGCTCCGGCGGCCGCGGCTCACAAAGAGGAGCCGCGGGAAGTTTGGGGGTGGTGGTGGAAAGCTCAGAGCCTCCGGCCGATCCCGGGGCAAATTCGGGAGCTGGCGCCGAGCTCCCGGTGGCCGTGGCAGCGGACACGGCACCCGACACCGAACCGGCTGCTCCAGCTCCGCCGAACCCGGAGCGCTGCATGGTCTGCTCGAGTTTTCCTTCACAGGCAGGAAAATGCCCAGGGAAAGGCTTTTTCCAGCAGTCAGAACTATTTTGGCAGATTTTGGGCTCTATTTTAGCTTCGGCGTGCCAGGGGCGGTGGGAGGGGGGAGGCTGCAGCCTCAGGATCAGTCCCAGAAGAAACTTTTGGGGGGGTCTCGTGTGTGGTGAGGGATGGGGGGTCGGGGTGGAGCATCCTCCGGCACTTTTTAACCTGCACTTTTCCTGGTGTTTTAATTTCGGGATGGATTTAGCAGCTGGAAGGGCTGGGGGAGAATGAATTTTACAGGTGTCGCTTGTGCCAAACTTTATATTAATATATTGCTAATATTATATTGCCATATTAATATATTACTAACATTGTACTGCAATACTGATATGTTAATATGTCACTAATATTACTTTAATATGTCGATATATTAATGTATTATTTTGCTATTATATTATTATGTTATTATGTGTTGTTAACCAAACTTTATATTAATATATTGCTAATATTATATTGCCATATTAATATATTACTAACATTGTACTGCAATATTGATATGTTAATATGTTGCTAATATTACTTTACTGTGTCGATATATTAATGCATTATTTTGCTATTATGTTATTATTTGTTATTAATCTGGCCTAGTGGGAGGTTCCCTGCCCATGGCAGGGGGTTGGCCTGGATGATCTTTAAGGTCCTTAACAAAACTATTCCATGAGTCGATCATATTTATATATTCTGTGTTAGGTACAATATAATCTATTTTAAATACAATATATCTTCAGTGCAGTATTTCTATTTTGACACCAAGGGGATGCCCCCGGGGTTCATCCAGCCGGGAATTCACTGCAGGTGTTTCTCCTTCCCCAGGTCGCTGGAGCAAAGCAGGACACCGTGATGCACCCCGAGCCCCCACATCCCTGAACCCTCCAGAAACGCTCCAAAACCCCGAAATGAGGCTGTTCCGCCGCCGCTACAGCACCTTGAAGGTGGCCTTGGCGGGCGCCGTCTTCGTCCTCTTCCTCTTCATCCTCCAGAAGGACGTGGGGAGCAAGGAGCCGGGCGAGGAGCCGTGGCTGCGGAACATCGTGCAGGGCAAGGGCCAGGTGCTGGACCTGATGCTGGGCGCCGTGCGGGACCTGCGGGACTCGATGCCGCGGCTGCAGATCGGGGCCCCGGAGCCGCCGCCGGAGCCGCTGCCCAGCGCCCGCTCCTGCCTGCCCGGCGTCTACACCGCGGCCGAGCTGCGGCCGCTCATGGAGAGGCCCCCCCAGGACCCCGCCAGCCCCGGCGCCGACGGAAAAGCCTTCAAGAAGGATCGCTGGACGCCCGAGGAGACGAAGGAGAAGGAGCGGGGCTACGAGAAGCATTGCTTCAATGCCTTTGCCAGCGATCGCATCTCCCTGCAGCGGGCGCTGGGCCCCGACAGCCGCCCCCCCGAGTGAGAGCCGGGCCCGAAACCCCCCGGGGCCACTTACTGCCTTAAAATGGCCACTTACTCCTTCAATCTGGCCACTTACTCGCTTAAATTGTAGAGGAAATTGAAGCAGATTGGTGCCAGGATGTCACCCAGACTGTATGGAGACAGAGCTTAAAAAAATTATTTATTTATTATTATTTCTCCCTAATTTTGGCTCCTTGGGGGCGGTTTAATGGCAGCAGGCTCTTTGTGTCTCCCTGTACCTGCTGCTGGCTCCGGCACCTCCCTGCCTTTCCCTCCTCTCCCTCCTTTATTCCAGCGGCTCCAGCGGTCAGACTTTTTCTTTTCTTAGCCGAGTGGAACAGCCTCGGACCCCGCTGGGGTGGGGGGGAGGGAACCAGGGAAACTCCAGAGATTTCCCCGCCTGCCCTCGGCCAGGGGCTGCCGGATTAAAGCGGGGCCGCGCGGAGGGGTGGGGTGGGGGAGACATGGGGGGAATTCGGGATGGAAAAAGCCTTGAAAGGGATGGAGGAATCCAGCCCCCCGCGCTGGCAGGCGATTATCCGTGCTTAGCAGGTGTAGCGGTGACAAAGGGGGGACACGGAGGCCGCGAATGGGACTCACTCAACCAAAATCAATGGGAATCAAAGCAGGGACGAGTCCGGAGGGGCCGGAGCTGCTCCCCCGCAGCTGCGGGGTTCGGTGGGGGGGATACCAGGGGTCACTCCAGTCGTGCCTCCCCCTTCACCCCCCCGTTCTGTCCCCCAGGTGCATCGATCAGAAGTTCAAGCGCTGCCCTCCCCTCCCCACCACCAGCGTGGTGATCGTGTTCCACAACGAGGCCTGGTCCACCCTGCTGCGCACGGTCTACAGCGTCCTGCACTCGTCCCCGGCCCGGCTGCTCCGCGAGGTCATCCTGGTGGATGATGCCAGCACGGACGGTGGGCGGGGGACACAGGGGCCAGAGGGGTGCAGGGAGCGTCTGGGATTTGGGGCAGAAGGATGTGGGGCCATAGGGGTGCAGGAAGCACGGTGGGATGTGGGGAGAAGGATGCAGGACCATGGTGGGATGTGGGGCCAGAGGGGTGCAGGGAGCATCTGGGATGTGGAGCAGAAGGATGCAGGATTTGTGATGGATGTGGCTCAGGGGGTGCAGGAGTTTTGGGATGTGGGGCAGAGGGATTCAAGGACCATGCTGGGATGTGGGTCAGGAGGTGCAGGATTTGTGATGGATGTGGCTCAGGGGGTGCAGGAGTTTTGGGATGTGGGGCAGAGGGATTCAAGGACCATGCTGGGATGTGGGTCAGGAGGTGCAGGATTTGTGATGGATGTGGGTCAGAGGGGTGCAGGATTTGTGATAGATGTGGGGTCAGAGGGATGCAGGATTTGTGATGGGATGTGGGTCAGATGGGTGCAGGGAGCACAGTGGGATGTGGGGCAGAGGGATGCAGGACCCATGCTGGGATGTGGGTCAGGAGGTGCAGGATTTGTGATGGATGTGGGTCAGAGGGGTGCAGGATTTGTGTGGGATGTGGGGTCAGAGGGATGCAGGATTTGTGATGGGATGTGGGGCAGAAGGGTGCAGGAGTTGTGGGATATGGAACCAGAGGGAGGCAGGGAGCACAGTGGGATGTGGGGTCAGAAGGACGCAGGAGTTGTGATGGGATGTGGGTCAGATGGGTGCAGGGAGCACAGTAGGATGTGGGGCAGAGGGATTCAAGGACCATGGTGGGATGTGGGTCAGAGGGGTGCAGGAGTTGTGGGATGTGGAACCAGAGGGAGGCAGGGAGCACAGTGGGATGTGGGGTCAGAAGGATGCAGGAACCATGGTGGGATGTGGGGTAGAGGGATGCAGGACTTGTGATGGGATGGGGGTCAGAGAGGTGGAGGACTTGTGATGGATGTGAGTCGGGGTGCAGGATTTGTGATGGGATGTGGGTCAGGGGGTGCAGGATTTGTGGTGGGATGTGGGTCAGGGGGTGGAGGATTTGTGCTGGGATGTGGTCACGGGGTGCAGGGGTTGTGGGATGTAGAACCAGAGGGCTGCAGGAACCATGGTGGGATGTGGGTCAGAGGGATGCAGGAGCCCTGGTGGAAAGCAGGAGGCAGAGGGATGCTGGAGCCATGTGGGATGTGGGTGCCAGAGGGAGGTAGGACAAGCTGTGGTGGGATCAGCAGGATGCAGGGGCTGCCAAGCCCCTTTCCAAGCCTGGAAGCAGCAGCTCTGAGCCCTCAGAGAAGCAGCTGATGCTCCCAGCATCCCGGGATCTCCCAGCAGCCGCTTCCCACTTCACATCCACCCCGGAGCACCCCTGGGATTTTCCCTTCCCCAGCACCGCTGTTAACCCTGCCCCGGGGACAAACCAGGTGCCCCACAAACCTCCACCCTCAGCCAGCTGTAATCCTCGTTAATTAGCACCCAGAGCAATTAACGCGGGGTTCAGTGTCGGGGCACTGGGAGGAGCAGACTCTGCCCTCGTCCCAGATAAATTCTCCCTTTCCACCCACGGGCTCCCGAGGAGCAGGAACCTCGCGGTGCCCCAGGGCTTCGCCGCCCCACAGCTCGACTCCCACTGCGGCTGGACGTGGGTGGGACCCGGGTCCCCTTCCCAGGACGCTTTTCTCGGGGTCCCAGCTCCCACCTGGCCATTTCCAGCTCCTGGCTTGGCTGCATCTGCCAAGCAATCCCTGGTTCCTCTGGTGACCCCTTCCCTCAGGAACAACTTGGTCCTGGTGACACTTCAAGCACAGGGATGTGACCTCCTCACCCTATCAACCCCCAGTCCCTCTCTGGAGAGGGATTAGACAGGAGGGGCTTAGACCCTTATAAAACTCATTTTCTTTAGCCAAAAATACACTTGGGTTTGGGGCCAAGGCTCAGGTGTCCCTGAACCCAAACCCAACTGCAGGGTTTGAACAACAGGGGGTGGGATGGGATGGGATGGGATGGGATGGGATGGGATGGGATGGGATGGGATGGTGGGATGCAGGGACTGGCAGCTGCCTCTCTGATGGCTCCGGATGCTCTTGCCCCCCGCAGAGTACCTGAAGGAGGAGCTGGATCGCTACGTGGAGCAGCTGCAGATCGTGCGCGTGGTGCGGCAGCGGGAGCGCAAGGGGCTCATCACGGCGCGGCTGCTGGGGGCCAGCGTGGCCAGCGGGGAGGTGCTGACCTTCCTGGATGCCCACTGTGAGTGTCCCCCCGTGACACCCGTGTGTGCCCCGGGCTGTGAGTGGCGCTGTCCCCGCTCCAGCCCTGCCCCGTGTCCCAGGCGAGTGTTTCCACGGATGGCTGGAGCCGCTCCTGTCCCGCATCGCCGAGGAGCCCACGGCCGTCGTGAGCCCCGACATCGCCACCATCGACCTCAACACCTTCGAGTTCTCCAAGCCCGTCCAGAACGGGAAGCAGCACAGCCGGGGCAATTTCGACTGGAGCCTGACTTTCGGCTGGGAGGTCATTCCCGCGCGGGAGAGGCAGCGCAGGAAGGATGAGACCTTCCCCATCAAGTAAGCCCAGAAAGGGCCTCTTTATCCAGCTGGGTTTGCTTTTTTTCCCAACAAATCGGTGCTCTCCTTGGTTTTGGAGCCTCTGGGTGGGCGGTGCTGCCCCTTCCCAGTGGGTTCTCCCCTGGGATTTTGGGGTGGGAGATATCAGGGAGTTCGTGCCCGAGCACGGTCAGAGCTGGGGGGAGCTGGAGGACAAACCTCCCTTGGGGCTTGGGAACGCGGGGCCAAAACGGACCTGTGAATCACCTCTGGCCACCTCTCGCTCCGGCAGAGCCGCTCATTAAGGATTTAATTGCTGTCTCTGCCTCCTCACCCTCGGTGCCCAGGTGCCCCCGCACAGAACAGGTCACCTGTGGGTCAGGCTGCGCCAAAATCCCCCTTCTCATCCCTCCGTTTTACGCGCAGACAGAGCCTGGGTGGGTTTCCCACCTCTCGCGGGTGCCCCAGGGTAAGCGGGGTGCCCCCACCGGGAGACACCGGACACCCCGGCCCCACCCCGGCCGCGGGGCTGCCTTTGTGCGCGGGTCACCTGGGCGACGCTCCTGTCCCAATAAAGGCCCCTTTCACCTCCAGCCGGGCACTTGGCTCCCGGCGGAGCCTCGTCTCCAGCAGCTCAGCGAATCCTTGGGGTTTATTATTTTTCCTGAATAAAAGCGTGGTTCTGTTCCAGCCTCAGATGGAAAAGATTAGGGAAGCGGGAGGAGGGATTGGGGCACCGAGCTCTGACCTCCTCCTCTTTTTGGCGACAGGTTTTTGGAAACAATATCCTCTTTTCACTTTGAATCCAGCTGGCAGCGAGGCCCCTCTGTGTCATGCTGTCACCTCTGTCCCCTCCCAGCAGCCAGGCCCAGCCTGTCCAGCAAAGCCACCACAGCTGGATGGAGAGAGACTCTCATTTTTGGGGCTGTGATGTCCCAAAACTCAGATTTCTGCTCTTTTATTTGTGTTTTACCCCTCCTCTGACCCCCGCAGGTCCCCGACCTTCGCAGGTGGCCTCTTTGCCATCTCCAGGTCCTACTTTGAGCACATCGGCTCCTACGACGACCAGATGGAGATTTGGGGGGGTGAGAACGTGGAAATGTCCTTCAGGGTAAGGAAGGAGCATCACCTTCCAAGGGCACCTCCAGGGAGCTCCCTGCTGGGGGGCCTGGGGGCTGGACCCCCGCCTCAGGTGTGGCTTCCCCGCAGGTGTGGCAGTGCGGGGGACAGGTGGAGATCGTCCCCTGCTCCGTCGTGGGCCACGTGTTCCGCTCCAAGAGCCCGCACACCTTCCCCAAGGGCACGCAGGTGATCTCCCGGAACCAGGTGCGCCTGGCCGAGGTCTGGATGGACGACTACAAGGAGATCTTCTACCGCCGCAACCAGCAAGCTGCCCAGATGGCCAGAGAGGTACTGGGCACGCTGGGGGCTGCTGCTGCTGCTGGGGGGGCTGGTCCTGCTGGGAGATCCCCCTGGGCAGTGGGAATGGGAGGGAGATCACACAGGCAGACCGAAATAGACAAAAGATTATTTTTTTTCTTTCCCCCTCTGGCCAGAATGTTTCCTAGTAGGAAAACACCGGGGTTTATTAATTCCTTTTATTTTTTTTAATTATTTTTTATTTCAACACCAATATCATAAAGCAGGGTGCCCCGATGTAGGGAGTAATTGGTATCTGGCTCTATTAAGATAGTGGTCCTGCTGGGAGATCCCCCTGGGCAGTGGGAATGGGAGGGAGATCACACAGGCAGACCGAAATAGACAAAAGATTATTTTTTTTCTTTCCCCCTCTGGCCAGAATGTTTCCTAGTAGGAAAACATCGGGGTTTATGAATTCCTTTTATTTTTTAAATTATTTTTATTTCAACACCAATATCATAAAACAGGGTGCCCCCGATGTAGGGAGTAATTGGTATCTGACTCTATTGATTCAGAAGGCTGAACAATTGCTTTATTAAAACTATATTGTATTACATTATATTATACTAAAGAGATACTGTACTGTACAAAATATACCTACTAAAGAAAAACTCGTGACTGTCTGAGACAGCCAGGACACAGCTTTGGACACTGGCTAAGGAATCAAAGCAATCCTCAGCAGAATCCAATTGACAAATCACTTCATGTCAGCAATCTTCCTTTTGCACATTCCACAGGTGCAAAACTACAGGAGTGGCAAGTAGAGATAAAAATTGTTTCCTTTTCTCAGTGCTTCTCCAGGAAAAAACCTGGGAGAGAGAATTACGTCTCTCTCTGTTCAGAGAATGTGAATGCCACACACCAAAGCTTGTTATTCTTTTCTTTTTTCAACACCAAAACTTCTTATTCACCAAAATAACACCAAGCTCTTGGTGGAGCCTGTGGGTACCTGCTGGGTGACCCCCCAGCTTGTCTCAGTGCTGGTCACACCATGAGGGATGATGACAAAGCTGGGGTGACTCCCAGCTCTGAGCCCCAACCTGGAAAGGACTTTTTGGGCTTTTCCCCTACTGTTTTCTGAAGTGAATTTAATTTTCGCCCATGACTTCCTCAATAGAAGACCTTTGGTGACATCACAGAGCGGCGCAGGCTGCGGGAGCGGCTGCACTGCAGGAACTTCACCTGGTACCTGCAGAACGTCTACCCCGAGATGTTCGTGCCCGACCTGACCCCGGCGTTCTACGGAGCAGTGAGTGCCGGGGTGGGAGCGCCCGAAGGCTGGGCTCGGGGGCTCTGCATCCAGCCGGGGACGGGGAGCTGGTCCTGCCACCTCTGTCACCCTGTCTGTCACCGCTCACTGTGTCTGTCACCTCACCTGTCACCGGCTGGCGGGGCCGGTTTGGGCTGCGGCGGAGCTGGAATCCGGCAGAGCTGGTTTGGGGCGAGCCCGGGGTGGGGAAATCCGTGGGGATGTGGATCTGGGTTAAACTCGGGGGAAAAAGCTGAAAACTTCCTTGAGCCCCAAACACCGTCCTGGCTCAGGGGGGGGCTGGTAAAACTGGCTGAGGACGGGATGGGATGGGGAGCTCCATCTCCATCCCGAGGGAATCTGGGGACGGGTGGGAGGCAGGAGCCCATCTCCAGCCACCCATCCACAGGGAAATGGAGACAGGCAGGATGTGGAGGGCAGGCTCCGTCCCTGAGGGGGCTGGGGACAGCAGGACGCGGAGCTCTGGCTGCATCCCCGAGGAACTGCGGGCAGGCAGAGGGGGCTCCAGCTCCATCCCAGAGGGTGGGATTCCCCTGAGGCTGGACAAGCCCTTTCCCTCAAGCTGTGTTGTATCCTGAGTCTGCCCCACCTCAACCAGGGCGATGTGACAGCACCCAGCTCGGTGACAGCTGAGTGACAGCCGAGTGCTGGCTCCCATCCAGCTTTAATTCACCTTTATTTCCTGAAACCTCAGCCCGGGTGCCTTTCCCTTTGCTCCGTGTGCCGGAGGCGATGGCTCGGGTGTTCCTCGTGTCCTGGAAAGGACACGGGACCCGGAGCCGGCACTGGGTGCTGGGATGCTGTTTGCACATGGATAACCCAGAGCCCTGCACAGCCAAACCCGAGCCGGTCCTACCCCGCCTCCTGTGAGCCCTTCTCTCCTCCCCTCTCCCAGCCTTTTTCCTCACTCCCTCCCCTTTTTCCCCCTACCACGTCATTTTTCCCCCTCTCCTCCCCTCCTCACCCCCGTTCCCGTTGCCTTTCCCCGCCCTTTCTCCCCCCCTGGACGTGGGGGAGAACAACCACGGCGGGAAACCTCTCATCATGTACCCCTGCCACGGGCTGGGGGGCAACCAGGTGGGCCCCCCAAACCGCCCCCATCATTTCCCCCTCTGCACCCCCCGTTTTCTCCCGGGGCGCGGCAGTGAGGGCCCCCTTGGCTCTTCCCGCAGTACTTTGAGTACACGAGCCAGCGGGAGCTGCGCCACAACATCGGCAAGGAGCTGTGCCTGCGCGGGGGCGCGGGCACGGCCGAGCTGGGCGAGTGCCAGTTCCGAGGGAAGCCCGGCCGGGTGCCCGCCAGCGAGGAGTGGGATCTGGCGCAGGTGAGGAGCCCCCTCCGTCCCGGGCATCGTGCCAGCCACGGCGCTGCCCCTCCGGTGCTTTCCCCTCGGTCACATCCCGCGGGCGCTCATGGATCGCTTGGGTTGTTCCTCGGCAGAACCGGCTGATCAAGAACTTGGCCTCGGGGATGTGTCTGACGGCCCGGGGGAAGCACCCGGGCCTCGTTCCCTGCGACCTCACGGACCCGCACCAGCTCTGGTCCTTCACCTAAAAGGGAGCGGAGCCCCCGGCCGGCCCCGGCCACGCTCAGGAAACCAGGATCCAAAAAAACTTCCTTGTTCGTCTTAATTTAAGAAGTGAAAGCCTTAAATATGCTGCATTTCGTGGTTGCCTTGAACTGAATCCCGTGCCTTGGGGGCCAGCTCTGCCGGGGGCAGCCCAGGGACCCCGAAACGCCGCGGCCGTGGCGGGGACACTCCTGCCGGGGCTCCTCGGCAGCCGCTGCTCGTCCTCCCCACCCCGGCTCGAGAATTACGTCTCTCGTTCCTATCGAGCTCTTCAGTTCCTATCGAGCATTAAAAACGCGGATGCGCCTCCCCAGATGGGGAATCCGGGCGAGAGAATCCGGCGAGGAGGAGGATGGTGATGGTGGGGCTCCTCCTGTCGAGGGGGGATCGGGGCTTGTGGTGGCCCCTGGCGGGAAATGGGAGAAGTTGGGATCTGTGCCTTGGGAATCAAATTGGATTTGGAGGGGGGAGGAAATTAGATTCATGGTTTTATTATGGTTATTATTAAATGATGATGATTCCTGGGTGCCATTCTCCTTGTGCTGAGCAGGAGGAGTTTTCCCTGGATGGCATCACAGAATCCTTCTACACGGGATCCTGGATGCCACATCTCCCTTGTTCCAGATTTTTTGTCTATTCCAACTTCCGTAGCTACCACTTTTGTTGCCATATCTTTTATAGTGGAGAAAAATCCTCCTGGACATGGCAGGAGGGGGAAGAACCTGTCCTAGACACTCAGCCTCAAATAAAGAGATGATTTATTTTACACAAATCCTGTCTCCAGCCATTCTGAGCTCTCACATGTTATACTTCACTCTTCTTGTTCCAGAAACTCCCTATTGAGCCCAAAAATGAGTTTACAGCCCCTTGTGCCACAGCTGGGGGATCAGCTTTGCCTTAGGGTGTCCCCGTGTGGGGTGGAGCCATTGTCGCTGTCCCTTGGTGCTGACAGAACAAACACGGGATTAGCTGGAAATTGTGTTCTGTGAAATCTCGTGTTTTCCTTGCAGATAAGGGCAGAACTGCAGCAGGTGCTTTTGATTTCCATCACTTTTTTTGACCTGGGTGACCCCATGGCCCCCGTGATCCCAAATGCCAGTGCCTGAGCATCGGGGGACAAAGTCCCCCCCAGAGAACAGCCTCCATTCAGAGTTCAAGGTGGGGGGAAATGACAGAGTTTTGGCCAAAACTCCAGGGTTTCTTTCAAAGCCTGTCCCTGCCCCGTTCTGCCCCAAGCTCAGCCCCAGGCAGGCCGAGCCCCGGCCCTGCTCCAGCGCTGCCTGCGCCGGGGGCTTGGCGAGGGGCTGAAGGTCGTGCCCAGTCTGTGCCTGCATTTCCCCGTCCCGGTGCCAGCGTGGCTCCATTCCGGCGCTGGATCAAGCCCCGGAACCATCCCACGAGCCGAGGCCAGGGAGAGCTGCAGCCGAGGCCTGCCGGGGCTGAGCGCGGCAGCCGCGGTGACAGCGCTGCGGCCACGGGGACAGGAGGTGCCAGCGCAGGGCAGCGTCTCCCTGGGATGCAGCGCCCAGGGGCGCTCGGGGCGTCGCTGGGCTGCCCGGGCACCGCGTGTGCTTTGGCACAGGGGCCAAGGCCGCTCGGCGGGGCCGCGGCAGCTGCTTCCCTTCCCGCGCCTCCTCCCGCGGCCCCGTTAAAGCGCCCGCGGGGCCGCCGCTCGCTCCCGCCGCGGACACCGCTCCACGATGATGCTGCAGCTCGTGCTCCTCGCCGCGCTCGCCCTGTGCGGTGAGTCCCGCCCGGAGCCTTCGGCCTCGGCCCCTCCCGAGAGCCCCCCGGAGCCACCCCGGCGGGACTCACGCCGTCCCTCTGTCCGCAGGGCGCTGCTCCGAGCTGGATCTCGATGGCATGCAGCGGGTGGTCGGCGGCACCGAGGCGCGCTCGCACGCCTGGCCCTACCAGGTGCGTCCTGCCGCCGTCCCCCGGCCCGGGCCGGGGCTCTCCCCGCGCCGCCGGCCCGCGCTCAGCCCCGGCCCGTCTCTCGCCCCCTCCCCAGATCTCCCTGCAGTATTACTCCGGCGGCAGCTGGCACCACACCTGCGGGGGCTCCCTCATCCACAGGAGCTGGGTGATGACCGCCGCCCACTGCGTCAACAAGTGAGCGCGCCGGGGACCCCTCCTTCCCCTCCGCAAAGCTCCTTCCCCTCAAAAACCCTCTCAGGCACCAATCCTGGTTGTCCCGAGCGCCAGAGCGGCCGCCCTCGGGGCGCTTTCGGGCTCCTCAGGCAGGGTCCCCACGGGGCTGCTCCGGGAGCGTCCCCGTCCCGCTCGGAGCCTCCCGCAGCCGCTGGCGCTCGGCACGAGCGGGGCTCGGGGCTGACGGAGCGCTTCTGCACCTTGCCGGCAGTAACCTGAACTACCGTGTGGTGGCCGGCGAGCACAACCTCAACAGGAACGAGGGCACCGAGCAGGTCTTCAGCGTCAGCAGGATCGTCGTGCACCCCTACTGGAACAGCAACAACGTGGCCGCGGGGTAACGCCCGCGGGAGGGGCACCTGGGGGCAGCCCGGCCGGGGTTCGGGGGGCTCCTTGTAACATGGTCTCCCTCTCGCCGGCAGATACGACATCGCCCTGTTCCGCCTGAGCAGCCCCGCCACCCTGAACAGCGCCGTGCAGCTGGCCGTGCTGCCCCAGGAGGGCACCATCCTGCCCAACAACTACCCCTGCTACATCACGGGCTGGGGCCTGACCCGCAGTGAGTGACGCGCTCCCCCCGCCCCAAATTGCGCCGGCCCCGGGCAGCGCCGGCAGCCGCGGCAGCGCTCCGAGCCCTGGACGGCGCCGGCGGGCTCCGCTCGGGGCTCCGCTCGGGGCTCCGCTCGGGGCTCCGCTCGGGTGCCCGCGTCTCCGCCTACATCTCCTGGATCAACATCGTAAGGCGGCCGCGCCGGGCCGGGCCGGGCCGGGCCGGGCTCGGCCCCGGCGCTCTCGGGCCAGCGCTGCGCCGGCCCCGGCCCCGCGCGGCTCAGCCCGGCCCTTTCTCCCTTCCAGGTCATCGCCCAGAACTGAGCCCGGCGGGACCAGCGCTCGCTGCCCCTCGCCCATGGCCGTCCCCTGACTCCCCCCGGCCACGCTCCGGGCTCCTCGCCCCCGAGCCGGCCTCAATAAAATCTCTCCTCCCGTCTCTGTGCCTCCGTGCTGCCTCGTCCCGCGCCCGCCCAGCCTTCCTCCTCCGGCCCGCCATCCTCCTCCCGCGCCCAGCTCCAGCACACGCCCTTCCCCGCCTCCTCCTCTTCCTCACTCCTCAGGGAAGAGCCCTGGCGAGCAGCAGCTGCCTCCGAGCTCTCGGGGCGGCCCCAACCTCTGTGGGATGCTGGAAAAGCGGGAAAAGCTGCAAATCCTCTTCCTGGCCTCCAAGGCAATCGCCCCCCGGCAGTGCGGGGGCACCCAGAGCATTCGGGGCCATCCCATCGCCATGTCCCCTGGCACTGCTCCATTGCTCTTCCCCAAATCCCCTCCTTGGCCAGGAGAGGTGTTGGATTCGGGGACTGCCACCTCCTCGTCCTTCAGCTGCGTCCTGGGGCTGTGCCACAGCCCCCCAGCCTGGGCACACTCCACCAGCACCGACGTGTCCCAAACACCCAGGTTACACCCAAACAGACACTGCTGCCTGCACCCAGGGCCGATCGGAGCTCCTCTCACCCCTGGGCCGTGTCCTGCTCAACAAAACACCCACGTCCGACAGGAGGGCTCTCCCAGCACCGGGGGGCACAGGAGCACTGGCTCTGCCTGGCACTGCTGAAGCCCCCCAGGGCTGGGTCCAGCTCTGCCCCTCCCACCGAGAAAAACACCGAGGGGCTGGAGCATGTGCAGACAAGGGAGCAGAGCTGGGGAAGGGGCTGGAGGAGCTGAGGAAGCTGGGAAAGGGGCTCAGCCTGGAGGAAAGGAGGCTCAGGGTGGTCCTTCTGGCTCTGCACAGCTCCCTGATGGGCGGGGCAGCCAAGGGCGTCTGGCTGTGCTCCAGGGAACCAGGACAGGAGGGGAGGGAAGAGTCTCAAGTGGTTCCCGGAGAGGGTCAGGTGGGACATCAGGAGGAATTTCTTCATGGTACCTAGGCTTGAAAAGCCGCGTGTCTGCTAAGGAAGGCAGAAGCCTCCTCTGAAATGGAAAATGTAAACCCCTTCCCTCCAAATTATTTCAGTTTTGAAATTAAGGAGCTCTCAGGCAAGGTTATTGGGGTATCAATAACAGTTATTTGTTTTTGGTTTTTTTTAAGCAGTAATACAAACAGAAAAATGCCCTGCCCCCTGTGGGTCAGGGTGGTGGCTGCTCTGCTTCCAGCCCTGGTTTCCCACAGCCATCCCAGATGTCCCATTCCTCAATCCATGGATTCCCGGTGCAGTGACACCGGCACTGCCCCAGCTGGTGCCTCTGAGGAGGAACCCCTCAGCTTTATCCCCTCACAGTCCAAGAGTGCAAGTTTTGGTCTTCCTCACAAATCTTTGGCTTTTCCTGTCTCTCCAGTGTCCCCCCACCTGGCTGTGCTGCTGCTCTCCAAAGGGTCAGCAGCTCACAGCCCCTTGTACCACCCAGAGCTCAACCTTCACCTCACCACAAATGAGCTGTTGCACCAGCTGCGTTCCTCGACACACCAAGCACAGATGGGGGGCGGCGGGGGCAGCGCGGGGGCCGCGGGCGGACCTGGCAGCCGGAGCGCACGCCGTCGCCGCCGGCGCACACCATGGTGTTCTTGACGGTGGAGCCCCAGTAGGACGCGCTGGAGCAGATCTGGTAGTCCACGACGGGCAGGTAGGCCTGCAGCAGGACGCTGGACAGCTGCCCGTTGCCTGCGCGGAGCCGCCGCCGGTCAGCGCCGCCGCGGAGCCGCCGCGGGGGCCCGGCCCGAGCAGAG